GGCAAACCACAGTTATTTTACTTTCAAAGATTCCATAGAGGACTGGATATTCCCACTGTGCATTTTACTTCATCACCACAAAGTGTTGTGAAAAGAATTTTCCTAATATCCTTATGCTTACAATGGATGTTTTAAAGCATTCCTAGGTAACTCTGTCAGCAGCAAGTAATAAATCATCCTCACTTACGAATGACAGAGGCTTTCAAAATGCATAAAAGGAGAGATTCTGCTGGAAGAGTCAGCTGCAAAGGACACCCCTTGGGCATCCCCTAGGCTAAGAGCTAGTTGCAGATGACTTTATGATGTTGGTTTCTGATCACTTATTTAGGTTTATTGCTTAAGAGTTACAAAATATTGGGAGCTTAAAAATTCATAATTGTACAACTGGTGTCCTTCCCAACCTATATTTTAAATCATTACACACCAAAATCTATAATAATTAGGACATGATTAATGGTTTTGTTGTGCCCAAATTCTGAACCCCAAAATCATCAAGAGGCCCATTTCGATGCAAAAGCAAAAAGTCTTTTATTGCAGTTGTTTAAGGAGCTAACCCCATTAGCTCGGGCCCTTCATGCATTCACCACAGTGGATGGCTGGAAAAAGTCCATAGCGAATAGCTGGAGAAAAGACCTCGAAAAAACACGAGGCAGGGATCTTATAGGGTAGTGTATGGTGAGTGTCTAGGGGTATGTAACAGTCTTAGGACTGGTGCACTTCCAGGCTTGGATGACCTGCCCTGTGTTGATTGGTCAACTGGTTGTTATGCCCATAGGCCCTCCCAGGGCAGTTGCTATGCTCTGCACATCACTGTTGTGCACTTGTCCATAAAGCACACCCAGAGCCGTAAAGCACAGACCTGCCAGTTAATTTCTGATTAGTTCCTTGCCATGAGGAGGGTATCTGCCCTCCTAGAGACCAGGACAGGAGCAACAAGGTCAGATATGCACATGTTAGCCTGTCATGGCTGCTGAAACGGGGGGCTGGACACTTCAGTTTGAGATTCCAGTGCAAAATAATGCCTCCAAGTTTTCACAAATTCAAATAACTGGCTAAAACCACATGCTTATCAAACATGTTTAAGTTTTTTCCCAACTGCTTACCTTAGTTTTCTTGCAATGCAATGAATTCATATTCATTGGATATTTCCTTCTTAGTGTAAATGGTAAACTTATAATTTATGGTGTTTTATTAAAAACAAAAGAATTATTTAATTTTTATTTTTTAGGGACAACAGTATGGTTCAGTGAGTAATGGCACTTGTTGCCAAGTCTAAAGGACGGAGCTTGACCCCCACATGGTTGAAGGAGAAAACCGAGTCCCACAAGAATTCCTTTGACCTCCACGTGAACACCTATGCTTATACATGTACACCTACAACACAAGAAATGTAATGGATTTTATTCTTTTATTCTGAGGCCCATTATGACACTGTCCAGTTTCTACTGAATTTTATCATGGCAATACAATGTAAATGAAATTGCTTCTTATGTAAGTAACATATTTTGGAGTTTCTAGGCAACATACAATATTGTTTTATCTGTTTATAAAAACCATAAAAATTAAGACAGCATAAATTTTAGCTAAAGGCTCAGTTTTTATTTTAAAATTTCATATTTCCTTTGTTTCCATGTCAGCAAGGTTTTCTGCTTTTCTTTATTTCTTAATTATAAACATTGTAATGACTTCTACTTGGTCTTTAATAGCTGGTCACAATAAACATTTTACTTCTCTAAATTGTTTACCTCATTCTGGATGATAATTTGATTTAGACAGTTTGTTTCAAAATTGTTGCCTTTGTTTCCAGGTTTCCTTGCAGTCTGCACACTGAAATGTACGATAATAATCACCCTTGCACAATTAGCCTCCCACTCAAATTTTCTATTAAACTTTCCTTAATTCAAGTCTAATACCTTATGTCATTAGAGATTTTGATATCCTATGAGGTCTTTGTTTTTAAAAGGTATTTTCCTTTTCCTATTGCTAACATTGTAAATTGTGCATTAGTTCTAATTTTTCACACGTTTTCAAATTTTCATGTTAATGTAAGATAAATGACCTGCCCAACAGTGAGGTATTCACAAGATCAAAACAGGTCAACGTGATGGACAGTTATAAAGCCTATTGGGAGACATTGTTCAGTCGAGAAACTATTTGCACAGATTGTCTCTCTGCATAATGGGCTCAATAAAATCAACATTAGTCACACAGAAGATTCTTCTGGAGGTCACACATAAATCAGATTGAAAATATGACAGTCAAGAACATAGTGAATGTGTCCTATGACATGTTAAGAAGTGTTCTATATACTTGTGCTTAATGGGACACACACACACACACACACACACAGGTATAGAAAAAGCTGTCATAGTTCCAACTCAATCAAAAAAGAAAAAGAGGGGAATTTCAAGAATTTATCTTAACTGAAAATTGGGAAAATGGGCAGGGAGTGAAGAGGAGGATGTAGCTCATGATAAAATGAAGATATGTTTTAGGAAGGGAACATTGAGAGAAGGTTTGAAGCATGGTTCCTGGGAAGTTAGAAGCAAGCTGAAGAAGGTACCGGGTATCATTTCTAAACAAGTACATATGTTGTCATGGTAGAACTATTGTTTGGTCTGTTATACTTTTGTCTGGCTTACAGGTTTCCCAAACTCATTGGCATGAGAACAAAAATTCAGGAATTACAACCATTTCTCAATTAATGCTATAACAGTTATCAGTCAGCATGTGATCTTTCCAAATATTATTACAGATCACAAGATATCTTGGAGACATATGAATCTATATTTTGCAGTTAACAATAACTCCATTTCTTATCTGTTGTGTAGGGGCCTGGGAGCACTTCAACTATTTTCTGCTCACCACTCCCATAGAGACACAGCCAAGTGACCTTCAAGTGTTTCTTCTCCCAAAATAGCTTCCACAGAGAACAAAGTATACATCATGCAGGTTTAAGATTCACCAAATACTGAGTGGGAGGTATTAAATACTTTTTAAAAGACTAATATACCCATTTTATTCAATTTGTTTTTGCCTGCAAGAGTTTAGATAAAAACACACAGAGAAAGTTGGAAACAGACTTATGAAATTGTTATTATTGTTGTATATTTACTTTTAAACCAAACAAGCATAAAAATCAAGGAACTGCCCAGATGATTAAGTCAAGAACAAAAACACCAGGCACAACGAAGTGAGAAAATAAAATAAGGATCTGACATAAAAAATTGCAATGGTTTAATGTCTAAGGGAGTTTAATGTACTAGGCCACAGCTAACAGATAAGAATCTTGCTAAGGCTCAGTTTATCACATTCTTTGAATTTAGTAAGAATGAGTATTAAACTAAATTGCTAACAGCTGGTTGTCTACCTAAACCTAGCAAAGCTCCTGGGAGCTATTATACAGATTTTAAAAAGCTGTCCTAGTGTGCCTCAAATTGGTGTTGTAAAGAGTTACCTCTTTTCCAAGTGAATTGTTCAATTTCACCTTCAGAAAGGCAGGAGACATTTCTCCTCAACAAAGGAATCTGCACCACTTAAGGCAAGGTACAGGACTTCACTCACTCTGGCTGTGATCCCTAGTTCTGGAAAAGCTGTGTGTAAAATCTTCATTCTTGATATGTCCTTGTCTGCAAACCATTCACAAATCTTTGGATAGGATCTGAGCCATTTGTCCCTGAAGTTTTTCTGGGATTTCCACAATTGACTGTCACCATGTGCAAACAATGCTTCCATGACTGGCACCAAAAAGCAGGACTTCTCCTGGAGTTTAACAAAGAGCAACAAATGAAATCATACCCCAAGCTTGGGTAAACACCGGTCGAATCGACAACCTAATGCCCCTTTTAAAAACTAGATAGGATTCTTACTGTCTTTCTTATGTAGATTCCCCTTTCTGTCAATCAAATTGCTTTGTGTTATACATTTTGAGATCAGCTTAGCTTTTTCTCCCTTTTGGCCTGTCCAGTGGATGGCTGGGGGGTGGGGGTAGTAATCAGATTTTACAGTCTGTCATTTTCCCATTTGGCAACTTTAATTTCCTGGAAATTTGGGGTAATTAACAAATTATGTGTTTTAATGTCTAGTCACTTACAGTGTATTTAGGGAGGTAAAAACACCTTTCCCTGCTGAACAATAGGCTGATGAGGGAGCATGCAGCAAACAATGCTTTATCTCTCTCTCTCTCTCTCTCTCTCTCTCTCTCTCTCTCTCTCTCTCTCTCTCTCTCTCTCTCTCTCACACACACACACACACAAAACCCCACACCGAATTTACAATTTTACTGGCCTAACATCGTTGTATACATTTAAAGAGCAACCTGGAAAGATGGCTAAGATTTTCACTCACAAGGAATAACTGATGAAATTTTTCCAAGTTGAAAATTCCAAAATTTTCAACCCAAGTTGAAAGTCTACAAAACCCTCTGTAAAAAGCACCTTCGCATTCCCATTGCACTGATGAGTGTGTGTGTGTGTGTGTGTGTGTGTGTGTACACCTCCACACGCCGTGTACTGATTTTGGATCAAGCGTGAATATAGTATTTTTTAGACTTTCCCTTACTAAAAGGGTAATTCTGAGCGGGGAGACACAGTCCATTTCTGAGTTAGTTGTTTACAAAAAACACATGCTAATGTAACAGTGTATACGGAATTAAAGAGAAAATGTCAAACACGCCGTGACATCCAAAATACATTCAGCTGTTCTCTTTTACTATGGGGACTTTCATTCCGCAGCGGGCTTCCTCCAAGACCCAGTGTTTTTGTGCGTTGGGTTAAAAATAGCCTGCCAACCCTGACAACTCGCTTCTGATTGGCCCGAAGCACAGGACGGTCAGCCAATGAGAGCTTCTGGGAACAAAAGCAATTCTTTTGTGTGTGTGAGATGCTCAACCCACGTCAAAACAGCTTCGGGCTGTAGAAATGATTTGGGTTGCGATTTAACAAGGTAATAATGCATTTCAGCCCTCTGAAAGGTTTGAAGCTGAACAAAGCGGGGGTGGGGTGGGGGTGGGGAGCAGGGAAATCTACAAAAGAAATGGAGCGAGCGCTCGGCTTCCACCGGTGAGTCATGCGGGTGTCCAGGCTACAAACATTAGTCCTTTTCCTCTTTTGCCAGGGACTGTTACTTACTTTTCAGGGATTTTCTCATCTCAAGCAAAAAGCCACCAAAGGCTGTTGACCAATGTGTAAGTTATGATTCACTGGCAAAGAGAAAAAAACAAAAACAAAAAACAAAGCCTCCTCTCAAAAAGTGTTAAAAACAAAACAAAACAAAACAAAACAAAAAACCATACCAACCAACCAAACAACCAAACCAAACCAAACAAAACAACAACAACAAAAAAAAGACTCATGAGCCGTAGATGGTGTGAAGTGAAAATCCCAAAACTTTGGGCTTTAGAGTGTGGTTATCAACACACAGCCCACTTTCTCAGAGACGTCTTGGTCATGCACTGATAGCTCTCCCGATAAGCAAAACAAAGGGAGACTTGATTGGAGACCGCTCTGGGTGCTGGTAGTCCTCAAGGAATCGGGCCTCTAGGGGGCGCTATTGCACAGTAGACAAAGATGATCCGCGCGGGCGTCCATCTGTAATCTTACATGCAAAAAGGAAAAGGGCTCGGTGGGTACCATTTAGGCAGAACTAAAAGGAGCAGGGAGTCGCTGTTTGAAACCCTCAAGCATAGCTCAGGGTCAACACTGTGGGACAAAGCATCCCAAAGCAACACAAATTGCTGCTCAGGGAACTTAGTGCCACGAAGGACAAAGGTTGCTACAGTAACTTGGAAATGACAGAAAACACCACGTCGTGATTTAAACTAGATTTATTATAAAAATGATCATTAAAAGGTGGTCTGATGCCTTATAGTTTCCAACTTCTTTTATGCGAGTAACCTGTATAATGTACCCAGTCCAGAACATGCTTGGCAAAACTTCAGACACTACATTATTTACATACTCATCTCATAGAAAACTGTCTGTTTCACACACTGTTTTCCTCTTGAGCGCACATTTCTTGATACATAATGATACAAACAATACATAAATGAAACTTAATAAACCTGGTGTGGTTTCTAAGAAAATCAAGCTTCTTAGTAAGATAGGAACAAAAGTTTATAGTCTAATTGGGCATGATAAAGGAACAATACACAAGCATTTCCTAATTGAGAAAAATCATAAAATATTGAAATTGTAAAGTATTACTCCCAAGCATATCTGTGAACTAATAATAGATTTTTTCCATTAAACATGAATGCAGAATAGTGGTGCTGATGGTGGGCTATTATCTTCATCTAGCAAATATGGAAAACTGGAAGAGCATTGTGCCTTTCTTCCCCCATGACATTCAACTATAATGCTCTGTAAACAAATATAAGGAAATAAGAGACAATTAAGGAATAAAATCCACTCATTAGTTATATTCCTACACAATTAAATTCCTAGAAAACTGCGCATATGCACACGTGTACATATGTAACTTTTGGCATGCAATAGCTAGAAAACTAAGTCTATTCCCTTCAGTATTGTTGTGAGTTTTATGAGTGTTGCTGTATCATGTTAGCCTAACAGCAGCTACAGAAATTGAACCTTCAACATTGAGAGCGTTGCAGTGGAAGAGTGTTAGGCCATTATATGCCCCCTGGCTTATTCTGTGCATCTGTCACGTTGTTTGCTTGCCCAGGCCTTGCAGCTGCCCCAACGCCGGCTTTAGGTGTGCACTGAAAGGAGAGGGAAGACTACAAGTATAGATCCTGCCAGCACTGCTGAAGCTCTCAAGCCAGAAGCCTAAGTCTGCAGGAAGCTGCCTTCCTCGTCCTCCTAGAGGCTCACAATGCTCTTCCCAGACAACCAGAGTTCCGTTTTCCTTAGATGGCCGTCACTCCAATGAAGTTGTCCATAATCCCATCCATAAAATACACGTTTGGAAATAGCCTTCCACTTCTTCCTGTTCACCTTCCATGTTCACCCAAGCTCTCCACTCCAGGGAGCCGTACATCCTGCGTGTCAAGCTCATCCCTCCAGACAGGAAGACGGAAGGGTAAGAGAAGATGACACGCATGTCTGCCTCTGGTTTCCAGGCCTCTAGCAATCATTAAGGGAAAACACAGATTGGCTCACAAAAGCCGAAGGTGCATACTCTTCTGTGGTTCTCAATCTGTGGGTTGAGACACATTTGGGGGATTGCATATCAGATATTTACATTATGATTCATAACAGTAGCAAAATTACAGTTATGAAGAAGCAACAAAAATTATTTTATGGTTGGGAGTCACCATAACATGAGGAACTGTATTAAAGAGTTGTGCATTAAGAACCATTGATCTAGAATCTCATTGCCTCTGAGTCCCAGAGCTGAACCAGCACCCTGGTCCCTTGAGTGAACGCAGGAGAGCCAGGAATCCAAAGTTCATTAGGTTGCATTAGCCCTGAGCAGTGACAGCTGGATACAGGCTTAGGTGACCATTCCCAGGTTCCTTGCCCTCCCCATGCTTCCCATCCCACAATACTGCACAAACACATGAGAGCTACCAGACCTCGAGGGGGGCTTTAAGGAAAATCAGATGTGACCATGTCATCTGGATGTTGACAACCTTTTCCTGTGTTCAGAAAGATTTAAGAATCCCAATCTGTAGTGCTAGTTTAGGAGGGCTAGAGGGATGAGGGCAGTGTGGAAGTGGGTGTTGGTGTTAAAAGCAGGTTTGTTAAAATAATAATAATAGTAATAATAATTTCTTGCATAGCTAATGCAAGAAGAAATATTTAACAGTTTCCAACATTACTTCATCTGCAATACAATCTTAAGTTGGAGTTAAAACAGGTATTTACCATTTAGCATTTACAAAGTAAGTTATTCTCACATTGTGCTATTCTTCACAACAGTCTGGGATTTGTCATTATTACATCTTGATTTTGTAAACTTTTTAAAGAGCTTATAAACTTTAAGTTGAGAGATTTGGCACAGATCATGAAGGCTCTGTCTCCTTTGCCAAAACAAAACTGGCAGTTGAGATATTTTCCTGGCTAATTTTGTTATAAATTTCCCCTCTTGTCGTGTTACTTCTATCATGCATGGCAATTGTTCACTCAGGAAACAGAACCTCCGTCTCCGTAAAGAACATTGACTTAGAAGTAGACTTCAAGATACGTGTTGCATGAAGATTTTAGGATTTTGCTAATTATAGAGGCCATGGAGAAATGAGCATAGCTAATAAGCTACATGGTAGAAGTCAAGCAACATAAACACAAGAGTCCGCAGCTATGCTCTGTATGGAGGGGTTTGGTCTTGGAGACACAAAGCCTAGTCATTCCACAAATAGCAGAGTTAATTAATCATTTAATTTTGGAAATGTTGTTAAACAGATTGTAATTAAATTTATGGATAGTATTCCAGGACCCTGGAAAGCACAGTAAGAAATGTGTATTTGTGTGTGTAGGGGGTGGGTGTGAGTGTGGGTGTGTAATAGAAATACATAGAAAGTGTCATGAACTTACCAGGAAATATTGTTTATGAATTATCTAGATCTTTTAGAACAAAGGGAATCTAACAATCAACAATTTAGGAAACCAGAAGCCACCAACTAGAATTGTAATCTGAGGCCTACATCAAGGAAAGAAAGGATTACAGCCTATCTGAGCACTAGATTTACATTCCATAGAGTAGTATGAATGTACATCCCAGATTTCCCATAATGTTTCTCCTTTTTATCCCCTAGTGGAGTGCAATCATTGCCAGGGCCAGTTCACTCTCCCACTCTTCACCCTAAATTGTGGGTGTGGGTAAATAATAAAACAACCAAGACTGATTAACCAAGTAATTCTAAATCTGTGTAAAACTATTAGTCAAGTCCCCATAAAAATGGGCATCCTGAGTATTTGAAACCATGAAACTCAAATTTATTCTATGCAGACCCATCAGATGTGTACAGATTCTGAATCAGATTTCTTTCATAAGAAAGTGAGTATCTACACCTGGAAGGGAAATGCAGTGACTAGGACACAAGAAACACTCAGCTTTCTCTGTGAGTCTTAAGACTAAAGACTGAAATAATGTAAGAGTATTGGATTTTGTATCGTGTGTGTGTGTGTGTGTGTGTGTGTGTGTGTGTGTGTGTGTGTGTGTACGTGCAGGACTGAATAGTGAACGCAGAGTCTTGTTTGTGTTGAATAAACATTGTACTGCAGATCTACACCCCAACTCTTATCAGTACTTTCTCCTGTTCTGTATGGTGACTTTTTACTACTGATTGTTTCTTTGCTGTGCAGAGCTTTATGTTTGGATCTAACCCATTTGTTGATTTATGCTTTTGTTTCCAAGGCTGGGATCATATGCAGAAAAATAATTGTCTGTACTAATGTCTTGACCTGCCCCCAGAATGTCTCCCCCCAATAATTTCAATTTCCCATTGTTCATTAAGTCTTTATCAACTGGTGATGATTGAATACAGGATGGATGAGAGTGACCAGGTTTCAGTATTCAGTGTGTGAACATCCGATTTTCCCAACATCATTTGTGAAGTCTGTCCTTTTTCCTACAAGGTTATGACACCTTGGTTAGGTCAGTTGACTGTAGGTTGTGGATTTCTTTCTGGCTTCTGTTTTTTCATTGGTCTTTTCATGTGTTTTTATGTCAATAATCAGTTGTTTTGCTTGATATGACTCTGTAGTATGTCTTAAACCATAAATTATGATGTATTTCAGCTTTGTTCATTCTTCCATTCTTCTTGAGCATTTTTTCTTTCTTTTTTGCTATTCAGGCCTTTTGTGTTTTTATACTTTGCAGTTGTTTTTTCCCAATTCTATAAAGAATGTCATTTGTTATTTTCTTTGTAATTTGAAGTCTTGTAACCAAAGATAAAGACATACAATTCTTAAAGATGTAAACTAAGCAAAAAGGAAATGAATGGATGGTCTGAGTAGACACTTGTCAAAGGAAGAAATGAACATGTCTGCTAAAAAATTCAGTGATATCACCTATGAAGAAACTACAAATTGAGCTATAATCTCACCACTGTTAGAAAATAACTAGACAAACGTTGTGAGGGTATGGAAGAAAAGGTAGTCTTCTCTATTAAGGTTGGTAATATAAATGAACACAACCACGATAGAAAACTGTATAAAGTTTCATTAAATAATCATATAAAAAGTAAAAGTACCATATAATCGAGCTCTTCCAATCCTAGGCTTATATATAGAAAATGAAGTCAATAAACAAAAGGATATGTATATTTCCATATTTGTACCCATTACTTACAATATTAATGTCATGAAAACAGCCTAGGTATCCATCAGTTGATGAATGAATAAAGAAAACATGACATATATGCATAAAGCAGTGCTATTCATCCATGAAAGATCAGGAACTCCTTCCATTTGCAGCAAAATGAGTGAAATTGGAGGACATAACATTAAGTGAAACAAGCCAGACACACAAAAAAGACACAGAAAGGTAAGAAGTATCTGTTCTCATTTAGTATATAAAACCAAACAAAGAAACAAATGAAAAACTCAGTGTGGAGATACAAATGAGAGAGTCTTGTTCATAGAAACTAGCATGAATCAATACTAAAACTTTCAAATAATATTTTACCTAATGTTGCTAGGTTGGATTCAGGTGACATCACCATTAGATTTGCTGCTGAAGTGTTTATAATAGCCCTAAAGAAAAAATGAAAACTATATGCCAAGTTCTACACTTGGAGGTGAAAATACAGGAAAGCATAAGAAGGTAGCATTTGAGAGGGCTCATTTCCGAGTAGGTAGACTCATAAGCCACATGGGGCTGGAGCAGAAGGATTCAGTCTTATGTAGCACCTCATCACTACTGACTACTAATGGTGGACTTAATGTACAAGACTGAATCATAGTTGTGAATAATATTATGGGGGAGACTTAGAATTGTCCCAGGAGAGCTTTATCAACAGAAGATATTTAAGTTAGAAGGATCAGATCATGAATAGGAAAAAGGAATGCAAAGCAGAAGGAACAGATAAAGCCACTAAAAATCAATATGATGGGTGGTGGCACAGTGATTTTAGAAGCCTTTGATTTTTAACAGGTTAACTGGGAATTAAAATTATACCAGAAAGCAATCTCTAAGAGTAAAACATTTATCAACTAGCTTAACACATGGAATAGTTTTGATGAAGCCTTTGGAATAACAATTTGAATTAAACAGTAAAGTATTAATTATACTACACCCTCCAACATTGGCTTAATGAAGAGACAGACGAGACAAGACACGATTTCGTCTCTTTCAGCTTTTTCTTATTTCTCCTTAAATCCCCTTGCTAGATGAAGAAGGGGCATTTTGATTCCCACTCCACCCCACCTCTTGGTCTTTATGTCTTCTTTCCATTGTTTTATATCTGTCTCACCCCCTGGTCATGCTATTTTAGCTGACATACCTGCATCTAAAATTATTACATCTAAAGTTTGTTTGTGCTGTTTACAAAACCAACCATTGCCACAGCTATTTTACTGCGTGGAAAGCTCAGTTCACCACTGCTCATGACTGTACGTTACAGAGACAGCGTTTGTAAGTGTTCCTACCTGCAAACCCACAAACATTCTGTTTCATTTTCAGAGTCTGTCTGGGTCTGTTCTGTGGAGTCCTTGCATAGCTGTTCCTGAATTTCTTAGTAAAATGTACTTCGTTTGGTGATGTGTTCTTACACTTATTTAAACAGTTGATGTAATGCTATATTGATTTTCCTTGCATAGTAGCATTGGGTTGTATGTAAATTACTCCCCTATTCCTACCCCTAGAATTATCTGGAACCATCTTCAAAGCAACTGGAGGAACTCCATTCATGTCTAACAAGAACCATCCAAGTACCACAGCACAACTACTTTCTTATTTCAAAACTCTGTGTGTGTTTTGTTGTTGTTTTTAGTGCTACAGCTTGTAACTGTCCCAGCTCATTGGTGACACCTCTTTGTAGGGCCTCTCATTATCTTAAACCCAGTTTCCATTAAGACAAAATGATTTCTGGATCTGTATATCCATATGTTATAGTTTGTAAACCGAGAAATATTTTC